TCTCCTGTATTCTTATTCAATAAAACATATTGGAAATAATTGGTTTTATGGTCATTTGTATACATGCCATAAAAATGTACCCATTGAAAATACATTAGCTAATACACTGAGATGTACCAGCTTGTCATTAAGTACACAATACATATCATGATTTGCATTTATATTGTATTATTAGTCCGTAGTTATTTTAAACTAAAAGAGACTGACAGATTTTTTATTTTTTTTTTGTATAGATCTCTTTTTATCTCATATATCAGAAAATACTGTCAACAATTTTCTCCATGCTTTTAGAAATAAATTGTTATACAAACCTATGAATGATATATATGAACAGACTCATAACATTTACAGAATATAGATATGGATGAAACGGGGAAGTCTGATGTATGTAAGTGTTACTAAAGTGAAGATTTCTTTTGAGTATTAGAAAACAATTTGTTTTGAAAAAATGGCCTCGAAAGAAATGTATGGTAAAATGACATTTACATACACCACAGGTGAACAGGATAAAACTAAATAACTGATGGATATCACCATGAAACCTCCTCAGTTGATCACTACCATTGAGATATTTCTTTTCTTTTTGAAGTTTTATGTTTAAATATATAAATGAGGCATTATCTAATGAATGATAGCTTTTGGTGAATTTAGGAGAAATATACACATGCAAATACACAAAGTAGTAAAATAAACATCTAAATCTGTCATTTGGATATTTTCTTTGCACTAGTTTGGTAGATGACTTTTTGTAGAATTTTGTAGTCCAAAATTTTTAATTGAAATCAGTGCATGAAAAACTATAATTTTGCCTGCGGTGCCTCGCCTGCTTGAACCTAAACATTTATATTCTATATAACGTCAGTAAAAAGCACCACAGCTGCTGTGATACACGTTTCTCAACTTAATTGATTCACATGTAAAACATCTGAAAGAATTTTGAGACTTTACTTTATTTTTTTTCTGAAAAAGAGCTCAATTTATTCAATTTACTGACTTGCGCCCATTTTATACAGTTTTTCCTTCTTTTCTTTTTCAGTTCGGTCACTATTGTGAACAAGAAAGTGAGGCCTTGTTTCCAGCGGGTTTCTTTTTATAAGTAGCAGCACTTAACAAATGCTCCGAGGAAGTGCTGGTAGTGCTTCTAGTTGCTTAGCAACAATTGCAAACTCATTTGACGCCAGGCAATCTTTCACTAAAGCTCTAAATATTTATAACTTTTAGCATTTGGCACCATGAGTGCTAAACACATGTAAAGCTTCCAGCTCCAGCAGGACTGTAAACCGAAGAATCCTTTACATAAAAAAAAAAATGTGTGGAGAGCGGATCCTAGTGGACAACCCAGTGCTTAATCTCGTTTCCAACAAAAAACGACAGATCCTGATGAAGCCGCTCAGAGTTTACACTCACCAAGTGATCCCTGAGCACAGAGGCAACAAATGTAAATATTTTAAATGATTCTATTATGTTTTTTGCAGGGGAAACAGGCAGAGATGATGGTTTCAGGAGATGGGAGAATTTCATGTGACAAAAAAAATCATCCATCAAGGGGTCTCTCTCTCTCTCTCTCTCTCTCTCTCTCTCTCTCTCTCTCTCTCT